TGGTAACGTATGTCAAAATTGCTATAGTCAACTGTTTTAGCGGCGATTTAAAAATATATAGGGTTTGTTATAGCTATTTGTTAAAATGAAAGAGATACGAGGCCGCGAATATCAAACTGAATCACTCGGTATATAAAAAATGTTTGAAAATTATAGTTTTTCTGAAATAAAAAATAAGGGTAGCAATCCCCAAACAGGGAACCACTTGTGAAACATTTGTTTTTTAAGTAATTTCCACTTTGCTTCCTTCCAAAATATTGCTTAGAAACCCAGATATTTAGAAAAAACTGTTTCGGGGGGCATTAGGCGGTCACGGTCCCGTCCTGTCGCGGTCCGTTCTGGGCTGAGCTGATCGCCGTCTTTTTTGAAAATGAACGCATTGGGCGTTCACGGTCCCGTCCCGTCCCGTCGCATCGCGGTTCGTTCTGGGCAGAGCTGATCGCGGTCTTTATATGACAAAATCCGTCACATGTGACGCTCTCCTTTAAATAGTTGCAGTATTGTTTTAGTAGTGAAAATGAGTTCTATGAAAGCGATATTTTTATCAGCGGAAAAATATATTTAGGGGATGAAATACACTCTCAAAATTCGCCCCCAAAAACAGTTTTGTCTAAATATCTGGGGTTTTAGCAATATTTTGGAAAGAAGCAAAGTGGAAATTACTTCTTATAAAAAACAAATGTTTCTCAAGTAAGTTTGGGGGTTGCTAGCCTTATTTTTTATATACAGGGTGTTCCTAAATAAGTGTCGCAACGGAAAACTGTAAATTCCTCTTGAAAAAAGATACACTTTTTTCCTCTTCCATTTTTCTCTCCGGGCTTTCGTTTTCGAGATACAGGGTGTGAAAACTTTATTTTTTTTTTTAGTTTTTCGCCAATATCTTAGGAATAGTTTGAACTACAGGACTGAGCTTTTGTACACACATTACCACTATTAATAGCTACTTTTTCGCACCCTTCTCGAATTCATTGGACGTGCCAGTGGTGGAGATTTTAAGGTATCGTAAGGGTTTTTCCCCCCCAAATTTTACGCCACTGGAAAAATTGACTTTTGACAGCAAATTCTAAAGCGCCAATGAATTTTACACAATAAGAGTTCTCTTGGTTCATTGCTCTAAAGTCAACCGTTTTCAAGAAAAATGACTTTTTATGAACAAAAGCAAACATTTTGCTAACGTTTCGAAAATCTTTTGTAATTCAAAAAATAGGTAGTAATAATTAACAATTTTAACGAAATTTAACAACAGATAGGATTTTAACTTTTTTTTATCAATTTGGCGAGTAAAATTTACAGAAACTGTTCAAAATTACGTCCGTTGGCTTGAATGCACGCATTACATCTTCTAATCATGTTTCTTTCTGCCGCTGCGGCTTCACCTCTATCGGTCAACTTTTCGATAGTATTGACATGGATTTCATAAACGATGCATTTCGTTCTCCGGATGTTCTGTTCAGTTACTTGCACTTGCAAAATGTTCAAAATGCAAAATGCAAAAAGTATTCGAAACGTTAGCAAAATGTTTGCTTTTGTTCATAAAAAGTCATTTTTCTTGAAAACGGTTGACTTTAGAGCAATGAACCAAGAGAACTCTTATTGTGTAAAATTCATTGGCGCTTTAGAATTTGCTGTCAAAAGTCAATTTTTCCAGTGGCGTAAAATTTAGGGGGGGAAAAACCCTTACGATACCTTAAAATCTCCACCACTGGCACGTCCAATGAATTCGAGAAGGGTGCGAAAAAGTAGCTATTAATAGTGGTAATGTGTGTACAAAAGCTCAGTCCTGTAGTTCAAACGATTCCTAAGATATTGGCGAAAAACTAAAAAAAATTAAAGTTTTGACACCGTGTATCTCGAAAACGAAAGCCCGGAGAGAAAAATGGAAGAGGAAAAGAATGTTTCTTTTTTCAAGAGGAATTTACAGTTTTCCGTTGCGACACTTATTTAGGAACACCCTGTATAGGTACAAAATTTATACATATATGCTCAAAAATAATTAAAAATATGATTTATGTTAATTGATAAAATTAAATTGACCTGTTTCGGGTTTTTCGTTAAAATCTCCCTAGTGCGAGAAATGTCTGTACGATTAGAATTAACATTATAAAATAAAAAGTTTTTACTATTTCTTTAATCATACGAATAATTTTTTCTATTAGCCTAAAACGGATTTAAACGGATGCAAACTACCCCTCATGTTCACCCCCCAGAAACAGTATTTCCGTGATATCTCGGGTTCTAATCAATATTTTGGAATGAAACAATGTGGAAACTACTTCTTATAAAAAAGCAGATGTTTCACAAGTGATTCCGTGTTTGGGGATTCTAACCCTTATTTTTTATTACGGAAAAAATGTATTTTTCAAAAATATTTCTATTGAACAGAACGAATGATTCACAAGCAATCTTGCCTGTAATTTGTTTTTTAGTGCAAATTTATGAAAATAAGCAATAAGTATAATTTTACCATCTACAAACCTGCTCGAAATTGAATCGGCTACAACTACGTAACTAATTGATCAATCGATCTGTTTTTTTTTGAAGAAGCGTCTTTCCAAAAACTTTTAAAACCTGCTTTAAAAAATTTGATTTGATTGAATATTCACAAAGTTCTAATTATAAGTACAAAAAATTCGAGCAATGTTTGAACAAGCGCCAGAGCTCTCCTAATTGACGGATTCGAATTTTTCAAAAAAAGTTTGAAAGCTTGAGAGCCCTTCTATATGTGATTAAATATTCAATTATCTAAGGGCCTTGGTTTTTGCTGTGCAAAATTTTGAAAATTTGCAAATTTTTTTTCAAAATCTGGATTGCAAAATTATTATGCAAAATCTATCGAACCGATTTTGATGAAATTTGGTGTGATAATTCTACATAACATGAATTTTTTTCGAGCCAAGTATAAAGGTCCTATACCCAATTTAAATACCCCAAAAAAATTCCCTAAAAAGTATTGTTTTTTAACCCCATTTTTGCGATTTTTTCGATTTTTACCATAGTAATCATGATTCATTCGATTTGTAACTAGACATGTTTTGTAAAAAATTTAATTACAAGCATGTTTTTCCTTTTCCATTTTCACCTAAAATCAACTCTTGAAAAGTTACATAATTAAATAGGAAGAAAAATATGACATTTTTCGAATTTTTTTAACATATTGTGCCGCCAAAAGTTAAGCCCACGTTTTTTTTTATGCGCATAGAAAAATTTTCATTTCTAGTGATATTTGAAAGCCAAAAAGCCAAAAATCTCCGTGGATATACGATTCACCCAAACCAAAACAGATACCGAATAGTCTATATCTATAAGCGCAATCATACGATGTTACCTACATCCAGAGCAGAGTCCAGCGCGGTAGCGCGAAAAACCTACCTATAACATGTCCAGGCACCCTGAGAGCCACGATTCAAGGATAGGCGAAAAGCAGGGACGAGGCCAATTTGCATTAGTAATATTATGAATATTTTTTAAAGATAAAAAATTTATAAAGTCCTTATATTCTTGTACACATGGCGTTCTCTCCTGTCTTATACCTACCTATATGCTCATGTCCCGAAGTAGGCCGAATATACATATAAGACAATAAATGTATACTTTTCACGTTTATGTAGAAACTCAATTAAAAGTATTTCATGGTGAAGTTGTTGCTTACTAATTTTTGTATTTTTTATGAGATTACATTTTTTTATTATAATGCAAACCCCACCACTTCTAGTTTTCTCAATGCAAGGTTTTCTGTTACAAAACCTCTCCATCATGAATCCCATTATGTAACCAGGTCTCCCTCAAACATAGAACCTCATAGTCACAAAGCAAAATATTTTGTTGAAGTTGGTCTAATTTTGTACGCACACCTCGGCAATACTGATAATATATATATTAAAATAAAACAATCCTAAAGAAAATACAAAATTTTACTACAAGAAATAGTGGGGACAAAGAAGGAAAATAGTGCAAAGTATACGTATATAATAGGGAGTTTTTGCATATCGGTTTTAAGAATACCGTAAAAGTCACGTGAGAGGGCATTGCGCATGTGCGACAGTTACCGTTGGCGTTTATCGTTACGGTATTCCGATATCCAACCCAGATTACGGTATTAGTTTACCGTGCATTTAGGATAGTAATTTTGTGTACGAATAATAATCCATCCATTTTTCTTTCACTTGCCGATTGCCTTTTACCGCAAAAGTATCAAATGAAAGCATAACCGTCAGAATTGAGGTTAGGACACGCTTTACCATTGCGGATAAACGACACGATATGCAAAAACTGGAAGCATTCAGTACACGCTATTTGTCAATACGGTATTCAGTCACGTGTTTTTAACGTTTATCGTATTCGCAAATACCTTATGCAAAAACTCCCTAATGTAAAGTATACGTATATTACCACGGTAGCGTAGTCGGTCAAGCATGCGGTGGCAAGTATTTCTCGGCCAGACTTCCTATTTTGGTCCGGGTTCGATCCCTGGCGTGTAACCCCCTCCGCACAGCCATTGGCTTTGGATTTAGAGGTTGTCTCATTTTTGTGGTGTATTTTTATAGTAAGTAAATGAATAGTATCATTTTTGCCCCCATTTGCAATGCTTCCTTCAATATGTCCAGTAGCCACTATTTTTCTATTTTCTCCCAAGTATTTTATCATCTGTGGATCTATTTCTCCCGGCGCATGTGCTTTTGTTGCCTTTACTTTACTTAGTGGTTTTTATAGTTCTTCTCTATATTTTCTTTTACCGCAGTTTCTCTATGTACTTCTCGTACCGGTATAGTATTCGTTTTAACATACACAAATAATTTTTCAGCTATCTTAGTAAGTTCCGTTACCGACCATTTCAGCCAGTGCACACTTATCTTCATTCAATCATTAGTTTTCTACGTATTATTTGTAACGTTGGTTCAAATGAGATTTGTATAAGTTTTGGAATAATGAAGTGGTGAAATAAGAAATAACAAAAATATGGGAGCACATTAATATTAAGTTAGCTAAATCGAAGTACGTACCTTATTTATTGCTACTTTAATGTTTTTGTATTTGTAAAACAGGTAACCGGCAGTTAATCCAATGGAATACCCTGTGATATTAGAATGGCCAGAACTGAATAATTCATGCCAGGCGGCTGCATTCAGTACATTCATATTATAAAGTTGCCTAAAAATTTAGAGATTTTTACTATAATTGTAAATATTTAATTTAAATTCTGATATAATTACAACTTTTATTGACTTTAATTATATTTAATAAAAAATTGACTTTTATTAAATTCAACCAATTTTAGATTTATGGATAGATAATTCCGATTCAACTTTTGTTAGTAAAATGCATTCTTTTTTCAAAAAAAGATGAGTTAATTCAAACAAAATCTAAAAAAGTTATAAGAATGCTATAATTTTAGGTACTCCATACAGGGTGTCCCGAAATTCATGCAACAAAATTTGGTCACAAATTCTTAGGACAAATTTAGGGGACCCGTATTTTTTATATTTGCCAAGTGGCCCCCTCTTTCGGAGTTACAGCACCGTGAAGTCCGCCCCTGATCCTTTTTTATATCTCAGAACACTGTTGTACGAGAATCACTAAATTTGGTACACAGGGGTTTTATGACATATGGAATCTGATGGTGCAACGTTTTTTGGCGGGAAACCCCCTTCAGACAATTTTTCGTGGGCCCCCTTTGGAGCCAAAAAAATTTGGTATTTAAATTTCTTAAAAATTATCAGTACACTAGAAAGCCATTAAATTTAGAAACTTTCTGTCTCTTTATAGTTTTTTCGTAAAAGGCAATGTTTTCGAGAAAAATGTCAAAATGTGATTGAACGCATATCGTGATTCGCCATTTTCCTCAAAAACATTGCGTTTTACGAAACAAATATCAAGAGACAAAAAAGTTTCTAAATTCAATGGCGTTCTAGCTAACTAATAATTAAAAAAAAAATCAAATTTGGGACCAAATTTTTCTGGTTCCAAAGACAAGGGGGCCCACGAAAAAGTGTTTTAAGGGGGTTTCTCGCCAAAAAGCGTAGGACTGTGAGATTCCACATGTCATAAAACCCCTGTGTACCAAATTTATTAATTCTCGTACCACATGGTTTTGAGATATAAAAAAACTTCTTAGGTGCAGATTTCAGGGGGCTGTAACTCCGAAAGAGGGGGCCAGTTGAAAAAATACAGGTCCCCTAAATTTGTCTTAAGAATCTATGACCAAATTCTGTTGCATGAATTTCGGGACACCCTGTATATTGAATCCCAAAACTTCCTATCTACCGATATTGTTTTACCATTTATTAAGAAGCTTTAGTAGTGTGATACAGGATACAATAAACATATCTACTCCAAATTTATATAAGTTGCATATTCGCATTAAAAAGTTCATTGATAGTAAAACAGCCCTGCTAGCACAATCTTGCACAAGACACTTATACTGTGTATCTATTGCTGAAATCACTATCGGGTTTACTGCAAGATTCATTGTGCAATTGTCTTGATCAAAGCTTTCAATGGATTTGATTCAGGGCACTTGAGCACAAAGGGGTAAATTAAAGCAAGTGACTATGTTGCAGACTTAATTAGAATTAAGTTAAGACAAATTGTACTTGACTTATACTAATTCACCCCTTTGGACTCAGGACTACTTTTGGTTAAGTCTAGTGCAAGTATTGTAAAAGAAACAATATAAATTCAGCAACAGACACAAAACAATCTGACACAATTTGGCTATTTCAAGTAAACTTGAAACAACTTGTATTAGAATTGCACACGATTGTGCGACCAGGGATAGAACGATACCAGCTGATACTGGTATATCGATAGTCACAGACATACGCACATTGAAATTAGTATATTGAATTGTGCACCCGATTTCAACGTAAGTACATGGTGTTCGTAATAAAATGTAACATTTTGTTATTTTACTTATTTTTTCTGCACACAATTTTATCAGCTCCTTATTAGTAATATTAAAGGAAACTGCAGAAACTGTTTAATGGAATGTGCACAAAAATTATAGATTTTCATTATGGTTGACAGTAGTTTTTATTAAATTCTGTATAATTATATCAAAAAATTATAGAGTAAATCATTTAAATTTTAGTTTAGTTTTTTTAAATTTGATTACGAAAAATTGAAATGGAGTTATTATCCTGTCCGGTTTTTGCATCTATTTGACAAGCACAACAATTACGGGAAATAATGTGCTTTTTGTGCAGATGAAGGTTTATTTAAAATCTAAGGTTAGTTATTAAACTTACTCTGGATATTGACGAATAACAACATCGTAATTATTAACGAATGCAATGCTTCCTTGTATTAATATTCCTATAGCCATGACAGTGGAAAATACCAAAATTATTCTGTTACACTTTAGTTTGGTTACAACTGTTAATAAAATTAGTGAAAAAACAAATAACTGTGTATCTGCTGCTAAATACCATGTTTGATGTAAACACTAAAAAAAGAAGTGTTTTTTAATATAGGGAATCTTTCCTGAAATGGTAGGGAATTATTTTTTCGATTTAAATATGGAAAAAGAATATGGTGTCCCGTTTGAAATAAGCGGTTTATTTAATTTAATTGAAAAAAAAACCTGTATAATTTTCTGAGAACTTTACTACATAATTATACAATTAGACCTATGTGTAAATATCTCCTGAAAAGTAAATCCAATACAGGGTATTACCATGCTGCAATCCACCAATTCCAAAGATATTTTGTGCAAAATCATTTAAAAAATTTAAAAAAAAACGAAATTTTGTATTATCCTGCAATATGTCAACAGATTTGGCATCAATCAATATCAAAGACAGTGCTCTGGTCTTTCTACAGCTTATGTCCTTGAAGAAAATTAAGAGGAGGCCGAACTGTGTAGGTTCTTGTAATATGACCACATATCCGTCAAAGTATATAAGTATGTAAGTAATTTATCTTTCGACAGAAGCGTCTCTGTACTATCGTTTAAAAACTCAATATTCAAACATGTATATTTATAATTTGACTGGTACTCAATGCGTTGACAAACAAGGTGTCTAGAAACAAATGTACTGTGCTTCAAGGGCAGTTTCCTTGGATGAATATAAACTAATTTAGATGTATTTTCTTAAGGATTTCATCTTCAGTTCCTGCAAAAATACCAATTTCCACTATTTGATATAGGTAATTTGATTTAAGTCGGCTTACTTTTATCCAACCTTGATATGAGATATGGCCCGTTTATTTTTTCTCAACCGCCCATATAGGTAAGTTGGTCTGCTGGTCAAAAGGGTTATAACCTTTCTGGGTGACGGAGGGAATATATTAGTGCTTAAATTAGTCATTGTTCCTCCTCCTTGAGATGAGACTGGGGGTAACTTTGAGATTTTAAATAGGAGCCCCTATTTTTTATTACTGATTCGGATTCAACGGCTAAAAGTACTTAGGATTTGTCTAAAACTTTTTTTAGATTCATGATAGATCAATAACGAATACCACGTTTTCACTATAAATAATCAAAATTAGTTTTAAAACAAATTTTATTTCTGAAATTTTCAATTACGTATGAAAACAAGCTTCTCAAGAAAACTACTATTATCGTAATAAAGGAACAGGTGTCCTTTTTAGTCAACGCGATTTTCTTCGCTTATGACTTATCGGAGTGCTTGATTTTTGTTTGCAAATGAATGTATATTTTTATATTTTGTTTTAAAGACACCATTCCTTTTACTAAAAATAATTCTTATAAAAATGTTTTATGTTTCTAGTTATTTCCCAGTTATTCAAAATTTGCAAAATGAATAAACTTTTTTGGCGACGAATTTCGAGTATTTACAAAAAGCGTGGTATTTTTTTATTGCAAACACATTGTAGAATTGTCTACATAGGTTTTCAGTAGGAGAAATGAATAAATATTTTATTCTGTTGATTACAGCACATGAATAGAAAAAATATTTCAGATAAATTTTTCGAATATGCAATAGAAAATTGGGGTTAGTATTTAAGATTTCAAAGTTACCCCTATTCCCATCTACAAGGGGTGGGGGAGGGGGACTGATGTATTTCTCCTGCGGTATCATTAAATTTTGATTATTAACATTTAATAAGATACTTATTTCTCGCGATATTTGAAAGATTCAGGTTAAAAAAAAAACACCCGTTCTACAGGGTAATCCTTAATGACATGTGAATATTTAAGGTGTGTACACATGGAAAATTAATGATAGTTTGATTTATAAACCATGGTCCAAAAATGTCCCGTTGCAAAAATACGGAGTGTTAAAATTTTAGGAAAAAGAAGGAAATTAATTAATGTTTTCGAAACCGCTTGAGATATTTCAATGATATTTAGTACGTAGCGATAGTTAATAAAGGTGCTTGTTTTTCAATACAAACATAATTTTTAGCTCTAACAGTGGCGTGCGTACGAGCACTAACTGATATTTTTAAAGAAAAAAATACTACGCCAATGGTTCTTTTCCAAATTAAATTATTATTGGAATCTCCGCTCAATTCGAAAGATAAAACCTCTTTTGAGTTTTTGTTCTGCGATGCGCCGTTTTTGAGTAAAAAAATAAAACCCGTTGTATTGTCCGTAATTATTTAATGTACATAATTATTGAAGAATACAATTTTGCAATAAACCTAGTTGGGCTATCTCTTCCATTTCTAACATTTTGAAGTAAGTCAGGCGGTTTCGAAAATATTAATTAATTTCCTTCTTTTTGCTAAAATTTTAGCACTCTATATTTTCGCAATGGAACGTTATTTCCTACAACATTGCATTTGGAAGTACTAGTCTATCACTTCAAATAAAAAATTTGACCTGTCAGGTTTTAAACAAATTACACTATATATACAGGGTGATTCATAACTTTTCCAAAAAAATTTGGGAATAGATGCGGCATGAGAAATGGAGTCAATATTGTAAAAAAATTTTTGTAAAATCCTTATAGTTTCCGAGAAAAAAATTATTGAAGTTGTAGTGCTTTCAACCATTACATAGCTGGACGACTGTAGTCTCTAGTGGCATTCGTAATACGCCTAGAGAGCCACGTGGCCTCAGCGACTCCGAATACTGAAAGCCGATGTTAATAATAGTTTTTTAGTAGTTAGTGTAAAAAATGGCTTGCGTGTATAGCAACTCGAGTTAATGGATATTGTTTTGGTTTATGGTGAAGCAAGGAAACATTTGTATTATGGTGAAGTATTTGTGTTATGGTGAAACAAGACAGAATTTGTGTTAGTTCGTAGAAGCTGAATAAGACGGACCCAAATGTGTTTAACACGTCGGTGGACAAAATTTTGAACAGTTATTGTAACATCAGGTATGTCAAATTATTTTATTATTTAAAACCACAAATGAATTTTATTAATTAATAATAACAATAGCGGCAAAATCAGTTGGATTTGCTGATATAAAATAGGTGCTATAAAATTCTATTTATTCTTTTCCTTGCGAAATTCTTTCAAGTTTTTGCACGTTTTTATCACTGCCGCCTTGACGGTCGCATTGTGCCAGGTCAGGTTTTACAGTGGACCAGTTTCCAGTGCCGTGCAGAAGTGTGTTTTTAAATCATTTTCGAACTGCACTTTTTGATTTTTTCTTTACAAAATTGTATTTGTAAGAGTCCCCTGTACATCCAGAATTTTTTTTGGATAAATTCTGAATCACCCTGTATATATAGTGTGTTCCGGTACTTGATACAAAAAAGTCGAGTACAAATAGATGAGGTCAAAATAATATCAGTTTTTCATATATTTTTTTTTTCATACGTGCATCGTTAACAAGTTACGGACCCTCAAAGGTGAAAATTAAAAAGATTTTTAATTGCAGTTTCTAAACTATTAACTTCAGCATGATGCAAATTTGGTGATCGATAACACATGCTCATGCATTTTTGATATTGCAAGTGAAACTTCATTATGCCCAGAACGCCAGGGACGGACTATGCCTAATGGTTAACACCAGAATTTTTGCATAGATTGTCATATTAGGAGTAAGCAACATTGCTTACTACATATGAAAAGTCTGGTTGCCTACTTACATTAATGAAGGGAGTACCCCCTCTTCTACAAAATGTAAATCTACAAAAGAAAATTTGAATAAAGGGTGACTAACTGAACGTGTTTGATTAAACACCTATCGCGACACACACGATCGAAAGAGACATAAAAAGCCCTAATATCACATGGCGCAGTCGGTAGACGGAAAATCGGAAAAATATACATTGTAAAGTGAATATATAAAACTTGAAAAACGTAGCAGAGCCATGGCCAGCGAAAAAATTAAACCTCCTGGAGAGATGGATTTCGATAAAAATCCTGGCGAGGCGTGGAATTTTTTTCTTCAAAAATTCCAGTTCTTCATTAAAGCCTCGAAAAGTGAAGAGGAGAGTGAAGAATACAAATGTGCCTTATTATTAAACCACATAGGAGATCGATCCCTGAGGATATATGAATAACACGTTAACATTTGACAAGAATGAAGATAAGAATAACTATACCACAGTCCTAAAAAAGTTACAAGAATATTTTATTCCAACGAAAAATGTTACATACGAGAGGCACATGTTCCTAAATCGAGAGATGAAAATAAATGAAACCATAGATGAGTATATAACAACTTTAAGAGAACTCAGCTTCACGTGTGAATTTGGAACATTAACGGATAGTCTTATTAAGGACAAATTAGTGCGAGGAATAAGGGACAAATCTGTCAAGGACCGTCTTTTAAGAACAAAAAACTTGGACCTAAATCAAGCCATTGAAATATGTAAAGCTGCAGAAACAACGAAAACCCAGTTAGAAGAAATCAGGAGAGAGGATAAATGTTATAAAAAACAAGAAAAGAAGTTGGGCAAAAAATCCACACAGCGTTGGTGAAACTCAAACATATGAAAACGCAGTTCAAGGTCAAGGATCAAGTCAACATCGCGGGCAGGAGATATGGCGTGACTGTGCACCATCGACGTCACAGAGAGGAATAGGAAGAACGATGGCCAGCAGAGTCGGCGCAGGACAAGGCGTAGCGACAGGTGTAGCAGAAAGAAGAAGAGGACAATCAAACATGGCGATGGGAAAATGTAGCAGATGTGGCCAGGGACATCCACCAAGAAACTGCAAAGCCTACGGAAAAAGATGTAATGCTTGTGGTTTAATGAATCATTTTGCGAAGGTATGTAGGAACAGAAATAATATTTATAAAATTGGTGAAGTAGATTATAGTAGTGATGATAATGATTTGTTTATTGGAATGATAGAAGATATAAATATTGTAAATAGTAGTAACGAAGATAATGTTAATGTTAAAAATAAAAACGATTGGATTATTAGCCTGATATTAAGTAATATTAATATTGATGTAGAAATAGATACAGGTGCGAGAGCAAACTTACTTCCAGTTCACATTTATAACAAATTTTTCAAAAACATTAAAATATTTCATTCAAATAACAAATTAGCCACATATTCAGGAGAAACAGAATCCATTGAAGTATTAGGAAATATCAAATTAAATTGTTTTTATAAAAATAAAACATATTAGTTAAATTTTTATATAGTAAATAATAATGGTCCATGTAATATAGGTCGCCAATCAATTAATGAAATGGCTATGGCCAACCTTATTGGCAATATAGATTATGATGTGTTGGGTGAATACGAGGATGTCTTTAGAGGAATTGGATGCACATCAGGACAATGCAGTATCAAAATCGATCGACTAGCAACTCCTGTAGTCCATGCAGCTCGTAAAGTACCTCTGGGAATTAGAGAAAAATTAAAAGGTAAATTACAAAAACTATGTAAACAAAAAATAATTAAAAAAGTGGAGGAACCTACTGAGTGGGTTAATTCATTGGTCATTATTAAAAAATCTAATGGTGATTTCAGAATTTGTATTGATCCTTCAGATCTGAATAAAGTAATATTACGAGAGCATTATCAAATACCTACTTTCGAAGACATTACATCCAAATTAAAAGATGCTAGATATTTTTCTATTCTTGATGCAGCAAATGGCTTTTGGATGGTACAGTTAGATAATGAAAGTTCGAAGTTATGTACATTTAATACTCCGTATGGGAGATACAGATTTCTTAGATTACCTTACGGTATAAAAAGTGCTAGTGAAATATTTCAAAGAAAAATGGCCGAATGTTTTGAAAACATCGAGGGTGTTGACATTTATATAGACGATATTTTAGTATGGGGGAGGACTGAGAAAGAACATAATGATAGACTAAAACTTGTTTTGCAAAGAGCGAGAGAAAAAAATATTAGATTTAATAAAGAAAAATGTAAATTTAGAGTAAACAAAGTTAAATATTTAGGGCATATAATAGGTCAAAATGGCATAGAACCAGATGAAAATAAAGTAAAAGTAATTAAAAATTATCCAGAACCAAAATGTTTAAAAGAATTACAAAGTTTCTTAGGAATTTTAAATTATTTATACAAATTCATTCCAAACTTAGCAGAATTAACAGCTGCACTTGGAGAATTGTTAAAGAAAAATACAATATATAAATGGGAAGATAATCATCAAATAGTTTTTGAAAAATTGAAAAGTATTTTGGTCTCAGCTCCAGTATTACAATATTTTGATCCAAATCTACCTATAACAATGACTGTTGATGCATCACAAAATGCATTAGGTGCATGTTTGTTACAAAATTCAGCTCACATTGCTTATGCATCTAAATCACTAACAGAAGTTCAAAAAGCATATGCTCAAATAGAAAAAGAATTGTTAAGTATTGTTTATGGATGTAAAAAATTTCATCAGTACATATATGCAAAACGCGTTAGAGTTGAAACAGATCATAACCCTCTAATTTATATTTTCAAAAAACCTTTAACCAAATGTCCTTTAAGAATACAAAGAATGCTCCTTGATTTACAGTTATACAATTTAGAAGTAATATATAAACCAGGAAGAGAAATGTACATAGCTGATGCACTTTCAAGAATTGTATTACCTAAAGATATTGATAACGATCAAGATATTTCATTTTCTACGGAATATGAGACGCAAATAAACTCTTTAACAGAAAACTTTCCAATTTCATCACAAAAAATGCAAGAATTCAAAACTGAAACTTTAAAAGACGAACAACTTCAAGCATTAATAAAGTATTGGAAAGAAGGTTGGTCAAATATGAAAACTAAATGTAAGGATATGGGTGATTATACAGTAAATGTATTTTCGGTGTCCCCAAAGAAAAATTAATCAATTTAATATAGTATTAATTATTTCACAAGTTGGCAATATTTAAGTATCTGTAATGGTAAGGGCCAGAAGATATTTCTATTTTTTAATATTTATAGGCACCAGGGGAAAATGTATGGTCAGGGGAGTGACACTATGCACAGAGCAGTGACAAATTTCCCAGTCTCTCTTCTTTCGTTTTTTTTTGACGTTCATCACGATATTTGGCTTATGTTTATCATAAGCAACTAACTAAAACATGTAAAATAAAGTGTTAAAATATTAACTATCAAGTTACATTTTTTGTCATTCCCCTGGATTACATGTGTTTCCCCTGGCATACAAACTGCCGGAGGAGTGACGCCAGAGAAGTGACGCCAGAGAAGTGACAAAATCGCACATATCCTCGAATTACAATTAAACATGTACTTATTACTACAATTAAAAGTTATTCATGATTCCTGGTCACAATTAATATTGTTTTTAATCAACGCAAAATTCTGTAATGATAAAATATAAAAATATATGCATACCAGGGGAAATACTTCAGCTACTGGCACAAGCAAGCTCTAAGACAATGTAACAGCCACTGACGCGATTATAGTTTGAATAGGCGCAATGCAGTTAGCTTGATGGTAAATTCATTCTATTCAATACGTATCACTTAAAGTCAAAGATCTGTATTTGTAATTGTAACCCGATATTTTGATCATGTGATTTCGCCAGGTGAGGGTGACACTTTTTTCTGGTGGCGTCAAAATTTATCATTATTATTATGTTCATAATTATTTTTACAACTTAATTTGCGAAAATGTGTTTTGACGTTTATTTAGTTATGATTATAATTGAAATAATATTGTAGCAGTCAAATAAAAAAAATTATGTTTAAAATTCTAGTAAAAGTTGGTAATGGGACAAGCCAGGGGAGTATACATTTTTCACTATTTTTTCATATAAACGCCTAAAGTGAAATAGTTATCGTAATTTGAATATGTGGTCTAAATAAAAGATAATATTATTTATCACTTCATTGATACAGACAATAAATTAATTAATTGTTGTATAAGATTTATTAATGGGCGTCGCAATCTAAATACTGTAGATTCACCCATGTAGTAAAAATTTACTGGAATATAAGACATGAAATAACTGATATAAATAACTTAGTATATTCGTACACACATAACGCTCTCGTAGTTCCCAAATCATTAAGAAAAGAAATGTTAGGTGTATTACATATAAATCATTTAGGAATAACAAAAACAAGGTACAGAGTACAGTACAAGCTGCAGAGGTACTTTATGGCCAGGAATCAATAGAGACATAGAAAACATGATCTTGGCATGTCATGCTTGTTGCACTTTCTCTAAAGACAATAAAAAAATACCACTTAATCCACACACAATTCCTAATTATCCATGGCAAAAAATAGGTGTTGATATTTTTGAACTTGATAGAAATTATTATATTATTTTAATAGATTATTTTTCTAAATTTGTAGAGGTTAAAAAGTAACAAAAATAACTGCTAAAAATGTAATTGAATGCTTGCAAAGTATTTTTTCTGTACATGGTATACCTTTCGTATTAATTTCAGACAACGGACCTTGTTTTAGTAGTAATGAATTTAAAATTTTTTACAGAGATTGTGATATAAAACATGACACATCGAGTCCCTTGTATCCACAATCAAATGGTATGGTGGAAAGAAATGTTCAAACTATAAAACAAATAATTAAAAAATGTAATTTTACTAATATCAATATAAATAAAGCCCTTTTGGAGTATAGAAATACTCCAATAGCAAATGAAATAAAATCACCAGCAGAGCTTTTGTACTCGAGAAAAATTAGAGGTTTTCTACCGTTGTTAGCAAAATCATTAAAACCAAAAACTCAGAAACAAAAATATTATTTACAGAAAAGGTAAAATGTACAGAAGAAATATTATGATGTAAATACAAGAAAATTTATAGATTTTAAGGAGGGAGAAAAAGTATACATAAAGAATAATGATATTTGGATTTTAGGTGTAATTTGTAAAAAATTAAAATTTAATTCGTATTTGGTCAGAGAATATAAATCAGGTTCAATTAGGAGAAGAAATGTTAGTTTTTTAAAACGATATTATGAAAATTCAGATTTATATTATTCAGATGATGAAAACTGCAATACAAAAGACACTGATATAGAAAGTAATGTTGAAATAGAGTCTCCCAACACTGAAATTAATGAAAAAAGAATTTCTCTATCTCTAAGAACGAAAAGTGGCAGAAAAGTAAAAAAAAACAGAAAGGTTAGAATATTAGCAAGTAGTTATAGTTACTATTACCTACGTTAATTATAAGTTTAGCTAAGTTTAGTTAAGTTTAGATTAGTTTATAAACTATAAGTACTTTCATTAAAATTATAGTTTTAAAATAAATATAGTGTATAAATAGTCAATGTATATATTAAGGTAATTAAGGAATGCTATTATATATTTTTCATAATAATCTCATTTTTCAAAAAGGGAAATGTCATATTAGGAGTAAGCAACATTGCTTACTACATATGAAAAGTCTGGTTGCCTACATACATTAATGAAGGGAGTACCCCCTCTTCTACAAAATGTAAATCTACAAAAGAGATTTTGAATAAAGGGTGACTAACTGAACGTGTTTGATTAAACACCTATCGCGACACAAACGAACGAAAGAGATATAAAAAACCTTAATATCACATAGATGACGATCACAATCTACCAGTATCAAAAATAAGGTCCGTGAACAATTTGCCAACGATAATATTCTCTTGATTAAACTGGGAAAAATAACAATTTAGGAAATATTTGTGATTTTATGTCACAGTGCACATCGAACGGCGCCTTCACCATATTTTGGTCAGAGTGCATATCGAGCGGAGCCTCCACCATTTTTTGTTCTTAATTTTTAATTGGACATAATTATTATGTTAAAACATTACATATTTTTAAAATAAGAGCCTAGAAAATCTTACTGTCTGCTAATATAATTTTCACTAACAAAATATGACAAACACACTTTACACATAACACAAAATAGAAAAACAAAACAAGAATAAGTTAATGTGAGTTAAAAGAAATAATTTAAAAGAAAGAAAATTCTCAAAATACATTTTCAATATGGACACTTTCCACCTCCACACACTTCCTAAGTCTACGAATGTTTTTTGTTTCTACACGAAAAAGCGTTTCTATGGTATGTCTAATATTATCACAATGGAAAAGAATTCTGTGTAGCAATTCATCCCTTATTGGTCAATGTAATATTGACCTGTTGTCTTTAGGATAATCACTGGTATCAAACCGGGAATGACAGTCGCGGCATATAACTTCATATAGGTACTTATATCTTTATTAAAAAATTCATAGATCAATGAATCGGTATCTGTATAAAGAACTGCCAGTTGTTACCGAACTCGGGTTTCATATAGTCATAATGGAAGTCATATATGGTTGTTTTTGCAAGATCCAAAATTTACGACCCAATATACATGGTGTCTCACATTTAAATAGCAGGACTTCAGGAATTAGTAGAAGACCTCATTTTGAGTCTAAAAATTCCTATATACAGGGTGGTCCGTAAGTAATGGTCCATAGAGACATACTAGATTTTTTACTTCAAAATATTACAATTGAAGCCAACATGCCTTAATAAAATGTTGATAACAAAAAAGATACAGGGTGTCAAAGTTGGAAATTAAAAATAGAATTTTCGTAATAATTATAATATTTTTGAGTGTATGAACGTGAAAATTTAGGGGTAGATGTTTTTGTATACGAGAAATCATAATTTGTTATCTATTTCGATGTATCTTCTAGAGGGCGCCACATACGCCGTGTTTATGACGTAAATACGAGCATAATTTTTTTATCCACAACGTTAACGCTTCTTTTTTTT